CAGCCACGATGGCGTCTGAGGTGGCCCTGTTGGGCCGGTAGGCATACTGCAGGGGGTGCAGGGTGTCCGGTATACTGCTCTGAATGTGGGCCAGCACCACTCTCTCAAAGCACTTCATAATGATTGGGGTGAGTGCCACTGGCCTGTAGTCGTTCAGGAAGGTGACTGGGCTCTTCTTGGGAAGGGGGGCAATGGTTGTGGTCTTAAAGCAGGTGGGGATGATGCTCTGGCTGAGGGAGAGGTTGAAGATAGTGGTGAGAACATCAGCCAGCTCGCTGGCACATGCCCTGAGAGCCCTCCTAGGGATGTTGTCTGGTCCTGCTGCTTTGCGGGTGTTGATCTTCCTGAGGACTGTGCGTACCTGGTCTGGTGAGACAGTTAGTGGAGCGGAGGTGGGGGGTTGGGTGGTCTTGGTGTGTGTGTGCCTCCTCTCTGTGCTGTAGCTAGAGGTCTCAAAGCGGGTGTAGAAGGTGTTGAGGTCATCTGGCAGGCTGTCTGTGGAGCTGATGATGCTGTGGTGGTCCTGTAGTCTGTGATGTGCTACAGGCCTTGCCACATCCGTTCGGAGTCAGCAGTAAAATAGAAGCCATTCAGCTTCTCTCTGTACTGCCTCTTGGCCTTAAAATGGTGCCAGACAGAACTGATCTGAAAGGCTGAACCTTAGAGAGGAGGGGGTTGAATGGTTGCAAAGCAAGTTCAAAAACTTTGAGGACACTGATTTGTAACATCAAACATCTTTTTTTTCAGACTTTCAGATGTTTGAATATGTTTTTTTAAACTCAATATTAGAGTTCAAAGTGCATCTTCCACCTTTCAGAGCCTAGTTTCAGGGTCGCACGTTGTGTTAATGATCTCACTTCACACTGTGTGTGAAACTCAGACTCACCAGGTGTGTGGTTGTCATCCATACATCAGGTGTGAGCATAACAGGTGCAGCGCCCAAACCGGCCTGGTACAGTGGCCCTGCAGGGACATCAGGTAGGAACCATGAAAACACACTGAGTCACATGGAAATGTTCTGAGCGTTACACTGTTGTTTATCCACATGTTGTGTCTTTTATCTCTTTGATCTAATTTTTTAACAGTTTTGACATTTCTTACACGCCCTCATACTAAACAGGAGTTTTTCACTTCTTAATGTCAGTAACCTTTGAACCAAAGCTGCTATTCAATTAAAGTTTGATTGATTGATTGATGAACTGTGTTATCATGTGACAGCTGCAGCTCCTCCTCCATACCGAGCCTACACCACCCTCAGAGTTGCCCCTCAGCTCGGGGCCCAGCTCACTGAGAAACGAGGCTCAGCTGACAGTCTGGTGGAGGCGGTGAGGAAGTACTGATCAAATACTGGTATTGATCGGTAAAGGTGTCACACGATGCTCCCTGACTCCTTGTTCTTCTCTCTGTAGGTCCTGATCTCGGAGGGTCTCAGTCTTTATGCTCGGGATCCAAAGTTTGTGGCATTTGCGAAGTGGGAGATCGCAGATGCATGTCACATGACGGTGGATGAGATGGAGTCGGCTGCCAATGACCTCCTCGGCTCAGGGAGCCACAATTTCCTGGGCAAAGCCACCGCCGCCCATGCCACACTCTACAGTGATGAGGAGCCGGTCAGGACAGGCCGTGATGAGGATGAACTGGCTGATGAGATGACCTGTGTGACATCATTCTGACACTGTGGACCAATCAGGAGAGAGCAGCAGAGGCGGAGCATCAGAAATGTTTGGACCTGTGGGGTTTGATTGACAGGACCTTTGACCAAGACTTTTGGCTGAAATCACTGGCTGCAGGACTCACACGTGTACCAAAACGAACACACACGCACATCAAATGACCATGTGTTGCCACGCTTAACACATGTTAACAAAACAACATAATGATCTGGACATTAAAGCAGCAAATGAGGACATACTGGTACTGCAAGTACCTTAACCACATGAAGTACTGGTGTACTTTGACGACTGAGACAGTTACACTACATGAACTGATACTTTAAGTAGAGTACATGAAGTACTCATGTCTTCCTGGGTCCTACTGGTCCTGTGGGTTCCTGTCCAAGTTCAGCTCCATCTGCAGGAGCTTCACTCACTTCTGACCGGACAGTTAATTATGGAGGCTCAGCATCTGGACACATCTGTCCATCAGCCCGAGGCTCCTCCTACACACACACACCACCTCATGCAACTAAGGAGTGTTTGTGTTGTTTGCCTTGTTACAATTACCTTTATCTGACTGATTCTTTAACTCGGGGGGGAATTAGCAACTTTTTTCCACAAAAAACTTTGTGAACTGTTTCAACCCATTTGTCTAAAGAGAAAGCAGAGAAACAAACTCATGTTTGTTGTGTCCCCGACGTGGTGTTCGCCGAGGTGCTGACCAGATGGTCAGTTTTCTTCAGGACCCTCGTCCGTCAGCATCAGCCCATATCCAATGGCGTTTCAGATCCTCCTCTGCAGGGACACGACGCACTAGAACCCTGCTAACAAAACATTACATTAATTTCAAAAGCTTCACTATATCTTCATATAAATCTCTTTCTGAGAAATGTGTGATTAGACTTTAAACCAGATGTGAACATTTACATTTTCTGCTGATGATACCACATAATCAAAAGCTCCAGAACAGCTGCTAAGTGGTCTCGAGGCGAAAGTATCAATACCACAGTGTACAAATACTCTGTTAAAAGTAAAAGATCTTCATTCAAAATGTGACTCATGTAAAGTACAAGACTGTTAATATCCAAATCTTTTTGAAGTACCAACAGTACCAGTACTCGTCCTGCAGAACGGCCCGTGTCCCAGTAACATCTCTGATACTGGATCATAGTGACTAATTACTGTGTCCATCACTTTAATGCTGCAGCTGGTTCTGTACCTTAAATAATTCAATGAAAATAATGATTTACAGGGCTTCATGTACTGTATTTACCACTTGTCCTGCTATCTGTGACTCCAATCTAGCGGCGGAAGGTTACTTCGATCTCGACAACACAACTGTACAGCAGCTTTTGGTCACAGCATCTATGTGAGAGGGGATAAGAGAGAGACAGGCCTTAAGCCATTTGCAGTTTTTTAACATCATCACATTACTTGTAACTACATTCCAGTTTATACCTGTGAAATTTAGATGAAATTAGTGAGACCTCACTTACCATAATCTTAAAAATAAGTAAGGGTAGTCACCCTTATGCACTTAGAGCAGACCTACAATCTACTGTGTATTTATATGATTGTGCATCTCGTCTTGATGACAGGATTGAGCCAACTTGTACAATATAGAGTACAAATTACACTAATGACTATTTCTAAAGGATGTCCACAAACCGTGTTCCAGGATATTAAAAGGATATCTAGAAACTGTTCTCACTGATCGACAATGAGTTTTTCACAATTTTTAACAAATCTTAATATTGCACGTTGCCTCCAGGAAATGGCATTGCCGCCAAACAGCAGGCTGTATAAAGTATAAAAAAACTGTCATCAAAGATGAACAAAATTAACCTCCAAGTATTTGCAGGGAGGTCTGACACTAAATACAGAAAGTGTTCCACAGGTGTCACTACAGCTGAAGGTAGCTCTTGGTGATGTTGGTTACATTGGCCTAATATATAAATAAAATAGTGGAGCAGCATTTTTATTTCTTGTAGTGTACAGCACATATATTGTTAAATATTAAGTGTAGTAGTAGGTTTAAAAATTAGTTCTAGTTTAGTTGGACTTTTACTTCTGATTAGCCTTCTTATTAAAACGGATGTATACTCGAAGCTGATGAGAATTGTGGGAATACACCTTTCAAACATTTGGGCCGTTACAGTGAACTCTACTGGAAGGTAGGCCAGACTGAACAGAAAGAGTGGTTATTGTTGGGGCACCCCTCAGTTTTACAAAATGCTTTAACCTGCGTTGTCAACAGCCAATGGGACATGGGGACGCTTCTGCCTCATCTATGCGTTTTAAGGCCCATTTTTAACACTGGCATGTCAACAGCGTGTTGTTTACGCGTTGTCTACGTGTAAACAACACGTAGACAACGCGTATTCGGGAGGTTTGGATTTCCATATCGATGCACTGTGTCTGAACGGCAAATGCGCTTCCCTTGATTTTACTGTGACTGTAAAACAACATGACGTGTTTCAATGACAGCTCCTGCAGCGTAAAGGGCCACACACGCGGGGGCGCGTGCGCCGTGTGGGGAGAGTAAATAAAAAATAAATGACGCGGACACAGAGGTAGCCTCCTCCTCCTCCTCATCCTCATCCTCATCCTCCAGCGCCTCTCTCCTCTCGACAGGATGGATGTCGTCAATCAGGTACAGACTCAAACATCCTCATTTTATTCCGTTTAGCCGTCTTTATGTCCATCGCTCCTGACCCCGGCTGTTTGCTTTGCGTCTCGGGGCGGCGCGTCGGCCTCGTGTTTGTCTCTCGGGTTCAAGTCTGTGTGTGGGACCGAGTCGTGGCGGCGGCACCGACATAATCACGGAAAAAAACTGCGTCGGCAGCCCGAGGAGGAGGAGGAGGAGGGGTTCCTCTTCACTCTGGATGCTGATGCTGATGCTGAGGTTCTGGTTTTCCGTTTCTCTTTAAAGAGAAAACTCTTAAACCCAGCAACTGGATCACTGCAGCTCTGGAAACAAGAATCCAGACAGGATTTCTCACATAAACGTTTCTGTGCTCCCCCCCGCCCAGACTATCCACTGACTTCCTGTGTTATGAACTTGTACAGGTAACAAGCTCACCTGTGTCTGAAAATAACCACGTGGTCTCTATCTGTCCACAGCTGGTGGCCCGGGGTCAGTTCAGGGTGCTGAAGGTTCCTCTGGGCTTCATTAAGGTCTTAGAATGGGTGAGTTCCTCAGACTACCACCTGCACCACACACAGGCAAGTAGTACTGGCTGTGGGCTGCAGGAAGGTGGGGTCCAACGCCCAACCCTCTCCCTCCCTGTGCAGAACTGTCCACATAGTGATGGTATGAAACTCACACTGGTCCTGATAGACAGCCACAGAAGCACACACACCGTGAGATTCACTGTATGTGTGGTATTAAAAAACACAAATCTATATGAACACAGTCTCAGGGAATATGTGAGCTGGCAAACTCCAGAAAACACCCAGAGACACTTTCACAAAAAGGCAACAGAGAACGTATGCTGATTAAAATATAAAATGTTAAGGCAGCATACAGACAGGAGACTGGTGAGAATCAGCCTTCCACAGGTCCTCCAGTTTTCATACTGAATGTAATGAAGTTGCTGAGCAGTGGCTGAATGCGTTCTAACAAGCTCAGTAACCAGAGGAGCTCCACACAGAGCCAAACCGAACATCTCAGATACAGCCTCATTTACAACCAACACCCCCTTCACTGAACAGAACACAGACTGAAACGATGAGAGCAGATGGCCACAGTCCGACTCTCCGTCCAATCACAGCGTGGCTCTGAGTGTGTGTGTGCGTGTGTGTGTGTGTGTGTGTGTGTGTGTGTGTGTGCACCTTTTTCTGTGGTTATGTGGACATGGTCAGTCTGATACCATCGTAGTGAGGACATGGCGTCTGGTCCTCACAGTTTCAAGGGCCTGTTGGAGGGATCAGACCTCAGGGTTCAGGTTAGACATTTAGTTGTGATGGTTGAAGGCTACGGGAGGCACGATGTCAGGGAAGGTCCTCACAAAGGTAGAAAGACAAACGCTGATGGTGATATCAGAATCAGCTTTATTGATCAGGTGTGTCAGACATGAGGAATTTGACTCTGGTACATCGGCTCTCGATGTGCATGTTCATATCCCCATGCAAGGGGCAAGTAAACAGTAAACCAGCATAAAACTGTAATATAACAAAATAGGCAGTATTAACAAGCGACAAACAATGCAGACAATGCAAAATAAACACCGTCCTGCAGGGACAACACAACATGACCTCTGCTTCCACAGAAGTGCATTCAAAAATTCATTTTAAGTCACAGTACGAACAATTCATGGCAGGTTATAGTGGGTTTGTTTGTTCAGAAGTGGGGAAGATTTTTTAAAATTTATTTATGATGTATATTATAGATTTCTTCATTTATATAAATTTGTCATCCAGCAAATGTTAAGAAGCCATTATATAATTATTGTATGTCAATAAATAAATAAATATTCATCTAAATACTGCTACATAATGTGTTATTAAAAAAAAACACAGAAGGTGGAAAATACCGTTAGGGCTGCAACCACCCATTATTTTCATTGCCAATTCAATTGCTGGTCATTTTTTACATTAATTGATTCAATGACACATTAAAAATTCTCACAAAGCCGAGTGTGTCCTTAACTATCTCAGATATTTAGTTTACAGCGATATCAACCCAAAGAAAAACAGGAAATCCTCTCTGAGGCTGGAATCAGAGCATCTGGTTTGTTTCACTATTAATTCATTATCAAAATAGTTGCACACTATATTTGTGCCGAATGATTAAATAATGAATACGCCAATCACTCTCACGTGTGGAGTTTGTTTTTAAGTTACATGTCTGATGAACAACGTCTGCTTCATCGCTCACCGCTCGGCATCGATGTTTGTCCTCCTGCAGTTTTTCGCCATATTCGCCTTCTCCACCTGTGGCAGTTACTCGGGGATGTTCCGGGTCCTGGTGGAGTGTAAGAACCGCAACGAGAGCGACCTGAGTATAGAGGTGGAGTTTGAGTACCCGTTCAGGTCAGTGCAGCACACATGCCCTCCCCGATGCTGAAACTGCACTGTGACACATTTCACTCAACACATTCACAGTCAACACAGAGATGGATGCAAACAAAGATGCGCTGTTTGTGTGAACCCCAAAGCTGTGAGTGAATGAACAGCCCTGAGGGAAATGGGATTATTTACCAAAACATATTTTATATATTAAGTCTTAGAGCAGCAGTGAAAAAGTAAAAGTACTATGAGCTTTTACCCTAACAGTACACATCAAAGAGGGAGGCAGTTAGGTCCCCAAACAGAAGATAAATGTTTAAAAAAAAAGGACAAAAATGGCTTTTTATGACCAAATTCTACAAAGGTTTAGCTAGCATTTGACTAACTGTAAGACACACTTTCATCACAGTCCGGTGCCCAAACCAAGACAATGAGCTAAAAGAGGCCAAAAAGGTTCAGAGCTGCTAGGAGCTATAGACTCATTCATAAGTGACAGCTGTAACATGCTGCCTCTGCACCATGCTAACACAGTAATGCTAGTGGTGTTAGCATGTTACAAGGCCAACAGGAAGTCTGTCAGTTTTAGTAAATTTGTTATTACATTTGTGAGGGAGCGTGACGTGAACATGAATGTCTGAACCAGACCTCATGTTCATCCATCCTGCTGTTGCTGAGATATTTTTGCAGCTTTGGACCAAGCAACTGAGCAAAGCTGCTAATGTGGCTAAAAAGGCTGCACTGAAATATTTCCAACTCTTCCTCTTTAAGACTCCACCAGGTGTATTTCGACGCTCCCAGCTGTAAGGGCGGGAGCAAGGATCGCTACTTCCTGGTTGGTGACTACTCCTCATCAGCTGAATTCTTCGTCACAATCGGTGTCTTCGCCTTCCTCTACTCCACAGCAGCTCTCAGCATCTACATCTTCTTCTTTGACAAGTACAAGGAGAACAACAAGGGCATGTTGCTTGTAAGTTCACCCAGCTGACCTCCCAGGTGTCAGGTGAGTTCTGGGAAATGTCACTTAAACACTGTGCATGTTTCAGGACCTGGGGGTAACTGGAGTGTTTGCCTTCATGTGGCTCGTGAGCTCAGCGGCCTGGGCCAAAGGTCTTCTGTCCGACGTGAAGACGGCGCCGGACCCGGAAAAAGTGGCCACTATGATCCCCGCCTGTGGCAATGAGGAGAACCACTGCCGTGAAGTCCACGACCCGGTTATGTCTGGTCTCAACACCTCTGTGGTAAGGCTTTCACCGATGCCTGAAGCAGGCAGTCTCTCACATAAGGTTGGGTGTTTTTTGGAGTGTTTGGACCTTAGTGCCGACATGTAGAAAGCAGGGCAGGATATCGGCACTGAGCTCCTGAATAAATTCAATTCTCAATGTCAGGAATCGATTTTTTAGATTTGATTCATTTACATAAATACCAAAGTTGCATAAAGTGCAAAAAGTCATTTTTTCTACATTCAACAAGTGAGCAACCCTGACATTTCCTTAAATATAAGATTATGAAAAGTTCTGATTATTGGCTAAATTGTCGACATACTTCCTGGGTTTATTCAAATCAAATCAAATCAAATTTTATTTGTATAGCGCCAAATCACAACAAAAGTCATCTCAGGACACTTTACAGACTAAGGTCTAGACCTTACTGTTATCAATATTATTACATAGGGAAAACCCAACAAATCCCCCTTGAGCAAGCACTTGGCGACAGTGGGGAGGAAAAACTCCCTTTAACGGAAGAAACCTCCGACAGACCCCGGCTCTTGGTGGGCGGCCTTCTGCCTCGACCGGTTGGGGTGAGTGGATAGAGGAGAGACAAAAGAAGAAAAGCAACAAGACACAACAATCAAACACTGATCAGGTCGATGTGGCTGGTGACTGCTCGTCAGAGACATAGAGCTCCAGGGCCAGGGCAACCTGTACAAAGGTACAGGGAGAGAGAGAGAGGACACACTACGGGAGAGAGGAGACACACAGTTAGGGGAGAGAAATACTCGGCACCAGTCCCAAGTTAGGTTCAGTAAAATCACTTTCCTTAAAGCCTGTAATTGTTAAGCTGGTTTCTTTCTTTCATTTTTTTTT